CCTCCTGGGCCCAGCAGGCCAGAGGCCTCGCCCTAGTGGCTGGGCTTTCTGAGGCTCCACTCCCTCTCGGGCTCTGCAGATCGAAGCCCAGGCATCTCAGAGGGAGAGCCACTTGCTTTTATCCAGTAGGCTAGCATGTCACTCAAGGGACCCTAATTAGAATAAATCCAGGATGTGTGCCCATGGCAACCTGCTTCGTTCCAAGAGGATCCGTGTGAACCCCACTCTCTGAGGCCGCTGCAGCCCACAGCTGTCAGTACTGGCGCTCAAGGCCAAGGCTTCCGAAACCTCCACTGGACTAGCTCAAGCTCCAGAAGCGGCTGCTGCGAAAACCATCTCACACCTTTTCCTACTGTAAGCATGTACATTCAGCTGCTTCATGAGCTGCTTCTCCTTCTCCCACAGGAGGCTTCTAGGTCTTTCTTTCACCAGTCAGGCTTCCATTCCGTGATGATAAACAAACGTGACTGGCAGCTGTATCTGCCTGACCTCAGCCTCTCTTATCCACCCAGGACACAGCACTGGGCTCCTCTCTGCAAAGGGCACTTCCTGTGCGGGTGCAGGGCCGTGTGTATCTGGCCATGATGGCCTGGGAGGTCAGAGGACAAACAGTCCTCACCTTTAGACAGAGACAGGCAGGGTCTGCAGGGTCTGCAGGGCCCCTGCTTCTGAGGGAGGTCCTTCCACTGCCCGAGTGCAGCCCTGCTCCCTGCCCTGCGGGACAGCTCCCCATGCTCTGCTCCTTTCCCTAGAGGCCCCATCTCTTCCGGACAACAGTGGAGGGTGGGGAAGCTGCCTGAACTGGTGGCGGGTCTGATCCCCAGGACCACGGGGCCTTGAGGGCGGCCTGCCCCCTGCTTTCCAAATGTCCCCAGTGGGAGTCCTGCTCAAGGATTTTTTCCAGGGTCCAGCAGCCACCTCCCGGGTTCTAGGCCCTCTCTGAAGTGTGTTCCCCTGCACAGAGCTGGCGGCCAAGCTTCAGGAACGCAGGCGCCCTGGAGCTCCTCAGGCCCCCTCCTGCGAGGCCAGCCCCTTGGCCCGTGGTCATGCCCTGAGGGCGGTCAAATTGTGCCCACAGCAGTGCTCCTGTGCAAAAGAGCTGGTTCCTTCCCAGCATGCTGTCCTCGACCTCACCAACCTTCCTACTAAACTGAACAGGGGGGGCCGGTCGTAAAACGGGTCCCGGCCGTGGCACAGCGCGTGCTCCAGAAAGACGTCGTCCTCCAGGTCCTCCTCCTCCTCCTCCTCCTCCTCCTCCTCCTCCTCCTCCCCCAGGCTCTGCTCCTCCGCAGGCTCGGTGGTGTCGGAGTCGGGGCTCGAGGAGGTGGGGGAGGGGGTGAGAGCAGCCATGCGCGCGCTCATGCACGTGTTGAGAAGAGGGTAGCTGCTGCAGCCAGAGATGACTGAACTGAGGTTAGTAGGACAAGACAGAGAGAAGTTAACACCAGCCTCTCGCAGGGCACACAGGGGCAGGGGCTTCCAGTTACACCCAAACCAAACACACAGACCACCAAGAACTGCCTTCAAAGACGAGGACCGAAAGGGCACCCCGTCCCAGGCTCAGAAGGAAACTGCATGTGTGGTCAGCGGACGGTTCCGGAAGGTCCTGGAAGCACCAGCGGAGTGATCCTGCCGTGGTATGGCTGAGGTCATGTGAAGACCTCATGTGCTTGGCCATCTGGAGGCCTCTGAACACCACGTCCGTCCCGCAGGGCGAGGGGCTGGGCGCAGACCCAGGCCAGGAGACCAGGGACAGGAGGCCTGGGACTGAGCCTCTGGGTGGCACGGCCCTGAGTCCCCACTCCCACCACAGCCACCAGGTGGCCTGGGGAGTCAGACTCAGCCTCACACATTCACACACGCGAACCCGGGTGACTTGGTGGCCACGCCTCACAGTGGGCGTGGGGACAATGCTGGGAGCCCCCCATGGTCCCTAAATAACAGGGGTCAGACCAGGAAGGACCAGGGCGGAGAAGTCAGGATGGGAGCAGGGCCAGTCGGGGTCCTGCCTTGGGAGGCTCCCGCCCCCCTGCCCTCTCTTCTCTTTCAATCTCAATCTCTCTTTCTCTCTTTTTCTCAATCTCTCTTTCTCTCTCTCTTTCACTCTCTATCTCAATCTCTCTTTCTCTTTCTCTCACTCTCTCTCTCTCGCTCTGTCTCAGCCCAGGGAGGGAGGTGCCCACCTGCCCACCAGCCGGAACCAGGGGAACCGGTCGTAGAAGGGGTCTCCGCCAGTCACCACGTTGTCACAGTCCTCGATGACGCTGGAGGGCACCTCGGCTGCCCGGTCATACATCTCCCGCATCAGGTCTAGGCGCTGCCTGCAAGGGTGCAGAGGTCAGTGTGGGAGCAGTGGGGATGGGCACTGCCTTGCACACCCTCTCCCAGCTCATGCCCTCTTTCCACCAAGAAGAGCCCAGGAAGGGCCAGTCCATGCTCGCCTCCTCTGGGACTCAGCTCTGGCCACAGCATCCCGCTCAGGATTGTCTGAGGCCCAAGCTGCTTTCCTGACAGCCCTCTAGGTCCTCAAAATCGGTCACTGAGCAAAGGACTTCCAGGTAAACAGACGAGGTCACCACTAACTCCTACCAACTCTGGCCAGGTAGCAGCAAGGTGGGGCAAGCAGGCAGGATAGCTGGAAACCAGCGACAGGGAGGTAACCCTTAGCAGGGGCAGAAAAGTGGGGAGAGAACCCCGAGGGGAACTGGCATGGGGACCTCAGGATGCTCCAGGAATAAAGGGCAAATTGGTGATAGGATACAGAAAATTATATTTAAGCAATTACTACCCCCAGGAAACCCACAAGTTGAAGAAAGAAAATGCAATCATTTCCCTCCAGCACTCAGGGGTAACATGAATGAATGAAGGGTGAACATTTATCCAAACATCAGCCTGCAGCCCTGGGAGGTGAGAAGGGCTGTGAGTGCGAGTGTGTGTGCCTAGGCAGGGGCGGGGATCACTGTGTGTGTGTGTGTGTGTGAGTGTGTGTGTGTGAATGAGCCATACAAGAAAGGTGTGTGAGAGTCTATGAATGTGCAGTGTGTGCTATATTAATTATATTTTATTAAAGGCCTGGTGCACGAAATTCATGCACAGGTTGGGTCCCTCAGCCTGGCTGGTGATCAGGGCCTAACTGTGGGGTGACTGGCAGGGCGATTGGAGGTCCCCCACTGGCACCCGCCTTGGCTGGCTGGGGGCCTGTGGGCTGGGGGCAGCTCCTTCATTAAGCATCTGCCCCCTGGTGGTCAGTGCACATCATAGCAACTGGTCATTCCACTGTTTGGTTGATTCGCATATTAGGCTTTTATTATATAGGATGATGTTTTATGATCTTTGGGGCCTTGCTGGCTGGGGAGGATGCCCCTCCCAGGGCCAGCCAATTCTCAGACAGTAAACGCTTTGGGGGTGAGTTTTACACACACACAGCCACCCCCTTAGCTGACATACACCCAGCCAGTGCCCCTGCGCTCCATCAGCCCAAGGCCAGATACCAGGCAACTAGGAGCAGCCCTGTCCTCGCTGTCTACCCCGCCCTGCTTTGCCTATGAAAACCCCGTAGGGCCGTGGCCAAGGCCTCTCCCTCGATCCTGTCTCCCTTCTGCCGTCCTGTGCTCCCCTCTGGCATTCCTCTCATTTCTAGGGACTGTGAGTGACATTAAACTTTTCTTCAGTGGCACTGGCCTGTTGTGTCTCAGTCACCTTTATAAATTAAGGGCAGGGCACATGTCACACACACAGTGAGCATGTGGGGACCAAGGAGGTGGCCTGTAGCAGCCCCAGCATCCCCCTCCCGGCCTCTCAGGCCCTGCATGCCCATCCTGTGCCACCTCCCTGCAGCTCCCATCGCCTCCTCCACAAAGACGTACTACACGTTCCACTGCACTGGTGGAGGGAGAACCGGGCCCTGTATGAGGCTGGGTCTCAGTCACTGTTTGCTTCTGATTTTTAAAGGGATTAAGACAGGAGAACAAGCTGCACGGACAGGTGTCCCCATACAACTGGTGCCCGCCCCCCTTTTGGTGGTTCCCCATCCCCAACGTCCACTTCCACCGCCACCCACCACACCTGAGCTTCTCCAGCGTCCAATAGTGGGTGGCCCCGTTCTTCTGGTCCTGCACCTCCACAGCCACGATGGTGCGGGGGAAGGGTCGCGTCTCTCGGTCTTTGGCAGCCTCTGGGGGCAGCAGGTCGGGAGGCAGTGGGGAGTAGAGTGTGTCCGTGAGGAGGACAAACTGGAACTGGACCTGTGACAGGCACAAGATGACCACCTGTCAGCCCCCTGGTAGGCGGGAGCCAGGGCCCGGGAAGGGCTTCCTTCCCACCACCCATAATCACGCTGCACATGGGAATCTCCCCACCCACCACCGGAGAGGGCTACACCTGCCCACCTGCCTGCCGGGAGCCACATCACCTCAGTCAGTTCCCTGCCTCCCTCCCATCCCCCCAGCCCCCTCCCACCCAGGGGCCCAGGCCGGGCAGCACCACTCCACCATGCCCGGAGCAGAGGAGCCCAGTGTCAAGTCCAGCTGTAAGCAAGACAGGTGATACCCTCCCTCCAAGACCGCCAGTGGGCCCACCTTCTTCTTGAGCTCCACGCTGATGGCATTGGCCTCCTTGAGGAAGATAGCGTTGCCCCAGAGCTGGTCCCGCAGCGACGTGAACTGGTACCACCTCCACTTCCGGAAGGCCCACAGCGCCAGCTCGCACTCCCTCTCCGTCCATGGGACTGTGGGGAGGGGCCACACGGTCATCGAGGCCACACCACAACATCCTGCTCTGGGTCGGGGCCAGGGCTCTGTGTCTGGGTCCCCAATCTCAGCCTAATTGTTCTGGGTGCTCGGAAAGAAGGAAGCTGGCAGGAAGAGGTGATATGAGCCGTGTAAAATGAAAGAAGGCTCTTCGGGCCCCAAGGAGGGCAGTGCATGAGCATCATCCTGAGCCATCCTGAGTCGGACTGAAGCTTGGTGAGGAGTGAGGGGCCAGCAGGAAAATGACAGGCACGCCGCCACGTGGGGAAGCAGTGGGGCGGGGACTGCCCTGCACACCCTCTCCAGCTCACGCCCTCTTTCCACCAAGAAGGGACCAGGAAGGGCCAGTCCATGCTCCCAGGCTCAACCCCTCCTCCCAGCAACTCCTCCCACCTAGAGCCCTGCCTTTTGGATCTCAAAGGGCCCTCATTGGGTAGATGAGTCCAGACAAGGGGAAACCAAGGTCACATCCACACAAAGGTGCTAACCCGCAGACCAGAGGTCAAGCAGGACGTGGACTCCATGGCCACCCTTGGGCCCCACAGCAGCATGAGGGCAGCCGATGGGCCAGCTAAGCAAATGAGCCAAGGTGAAGAGCAGTGACCTTGTCCGGGGGAGCTCCAGCCTCCAGGTGGTAGCACAGGGTGAGTGGACACAGGACACCCTCCCCATCCTCCCCATGGTCCAGGCTGCTGCCCCCAGAACCCCATGTGTTTGCACACGCGTGTGCAGCTTGTGGGGTGCTTTCCTGCTGCTGCACAATCTCCCTGAATCCTGCCTCCCAGGGACAAGGCTTCTTCCCAAGGAATAGGCAGGACCCCAGGGCAAAGATGCAGACCAGCTGACCCCAGGAAGTGCCCTGGGGGCTGCATGTTCTTGGAGACCCAGGCCTTGCCCACCAGCAGGTTGGGGAGCCCTCACCTTCGTCCTCTGGCTCTTCCTCCTCCTCGTTCACCTCTGGGAAGTACCTGGACTCCATCTGCTTCTGCAGGGCCTCCAGCTTGCTCTCATAGTCCTAGCACAGAAGCAGGGACTGTGACTCCCCCTGGGACCCTCGAGCTGTGGACCCCAGGCCTGCCCAGTGGGCCCAGACATGGACCAACACAGCGATGGCTTGGGGCAGTGGAGAGTAGGGCTGTTTGCAAAGCAGGGACCCGGCTCACCCCACCCAGGCATCGTGTGGGGCCTGGGGGCCAGGGAGTGGCGCTCTCACCAGCCTTTGCTGCTCCAGCAGGTAGGTGGCCTCCTCCCGCTCCCGGCGG